GTGATCCTCAAAGGTCGATCTTTCCCTTTTACGTACCTGCCTATTCTCCTGTAGTCGCACACATTCTCTCTGTTTGTAAGACCTTCCACGAGGCCAACAATTTTATCTACTACTTTAGCTTCTTCTACAGCTCTTTCTGACCTAGATGTTATCGCCTTTTCTTTGCAGCCAAAAATGATCAGGGACTTACTCCGATCAACTGTGTTTTGCACCAACTTCGGGTTAGATGCCAATTCTTTCCTCACTTCTAGCCTAATGTTTGTTTTATCTTGGTTGCTGCAGTGTTTGACTTCCTTTACTGCTTCTTCTATTTTTTCCTTCTCCTTGGCCACTTGTGCATAAGTGAGTTGCATATCTTTCTTGCACTGTTCTATTCCCTGTGTAACTTCCTCCATCTGTGCTGACAAAAGCTGTTTCTCCTGTTGAATTTCCTTGCCTAACCTATTGTAGTCATTTATGTTTAAATTTACTTTAACTTCTTCCAAAGCTATTTTTAAGAGTTTATTTTCTTCTTCCATGGCTTTGCAATTTGTTTCCAATTGATTCTTATCCTTGCGCAAGTCTTTCACTAAACCCTCAAGACATAAAACTTTGCTATTCAAATGGTCATTACTTTCTTTCAATTTACTAATTATTTCTACATGAGAGTTCACTATAGTATCTAAATTTACCAACTTGTTATGTAGACTGCTAATATCAATGCTTTCTTCATTGAATCCCTCAAAATCAAGCTCTGTTTTGTTTTTCCCCTTGCCAGTGGCCATCTTGAATGTTCTTCTCTGCACTGTAAACACTAGGGCAACTTTTTCTCATCCGATTTTTCACTTCCCTTAGCACTTTCCTGTTATCTCACCTATTTTTCAAGAGCACTATACCTTTATGTTCTCTGGGACACCACTCACTACCATCAACCTGTACTACAATACTTAGGATTATTGAAATATGCTGGAGCTCCTCTGCTGCAAGTGTTGACCCTAGGGGTGTCACCTTTTGTGTGTGTGTGTGTGTGTATGGGTTTGGGTGGGGGGGTGGGGGTGGTGTGTCGGTGGTGGGGGGAGAGGGGGAGGTGTGTCGGTGGTGGTTTCATAAATTTTTCGGAAAAATTTCTTTTTACATTTCTAGTTTATTTTTTCCCCTCTATTTCTCATATACGAACTTACATGTTAACCGACGGGTCTCGTCCCCAAGGGGTTCGGAAACCAAGTGGTGCTCTGTATGCCCATGCACTCGGCTCCAGGGTCTGACTCATGGAATTCAATATTCATAAAGAAATGTAAAGTACCAGTAGTGCGAGCACTCAGCATAATATGGAGAAAGAGCCTAAATACAGGGGAGATACCAGCAGTACTTAAATCTGCAGATATAGCTCCTTTGCACAAGGGGGGGAAGTAAAGCCTTGGCAAAAAATTATAGGCCAGTTGCACTAATATCACACATAATAAAAGTTTTTGAAAGAGTGATTAGGAATAAAATTTCTAGTTGTATGGAAAATAATGAGTTACACAACCCAGGACAACATGGATTTAGAGCGGGAAGATCCTGTCTGTCAGTTACTCAACCACCATGACAAAATCACAGAAGCTCAAGAAAAAAAGCAAATTGTAGATGTAGTATACACAGACTTTGCAAAGGCATTCGACAGATGTGACCATGGAGTGATTGCACACAAAATGAGGTCAGTGGGAATAACCGGTAAAGTAGGACATAATACAGGGCAGCAGGAAATAATAAATTCCAGGTACTCAGATACGGCAAAAATGAGGATCTTAAACATAATACAGGGTACAAAACACAATCGAATCTGCCCATAGTAGGAAAACAGCATGTCAAGGATTTGAGAATAATGATGTCCGACGACCTAACATTTAGGGAACATAACCAAGCAAGTATTGCATCAGCCAGAAAAATGATAGGATGGATTACGAGAACCTTCAAGTCCAGAGATCCCATCACAATGGTTGTACTCTTCAAATCATTTGTGTTGTCCCGTCTTGAGTACTGCTCAGTACTCACTTTCCCCTTCAGAGCAGGAGAGATTGCTGAAATTGAGGGAATACAGAGAACATATACGGTACGCATAGACGAGATTAAGCACCTAAATTATTGGGATCGTCTCAAAGCTCTCCAAATGTACTCACTAGAAAGGAAACGAGAGAGATACCAAGTAATATACACATGGAAAATACTGGGGGGACAGGTCCCAAATCTGCACAGTAAAATAACAACGTACTGGAGTGAACGACATGGAAGAAAATGCAGAATAGAACCAGTGAAGAGCAGAGGTGTCATGGGCACAATCAGAGAACACTGTATGAACATCAGAGGTCCACGGTTGTTCAACGTCCTACCAGCGAGCATCAGAAATATTATAGGAACAACTGTGGACATCTTCAAGAGGAAACTAGATTGTTTCCTTCAAGGAGTGCCGGACCAACCGGGCTGTGGTGGGTATCTGGGCCTGCAGGCTGCTCCAAGCAACAGCCTGGTGAACCAAACTCGCAAGTCGAGCCTGGCCTCGGGCCGGGCTTGGGGAGTTGAAGAACTCCCAGAACCCCATCAACCAGGTAACCAGGTAGGACGCTGGATACTCAATTTCCTGTCGAACAGAACACAGAGTAACAGTCAATCAAATAAAATCAAGTCCAAGCGCAGTTAAAAGCTCTGTACCTCAAGGTACAGTCCTTGCACCACTGCTGTTCCTTATTCTCATATCAGATATAGATAAAAATACAAGTCACAGCTTCGTGTCATCCTTTGCAGATGACACAAAAATCAGCATGAAAATTACCTCTGCTGAAGACATGGAAAAATTACAAGCAGATATCAACAAAGTTTTCGATTGGGCAGCAGAAAATAACATGTTTAACAGCGATAAATTCCAGGTACTCAGGTACAGCAAAAAATGAGGACCTGAAACATAATATATAGGGTACAAAACACAATCAAATCTACCCATAATAGGTAAACAGCATGTCAAGGATTTGGGAATAATGATGTCCGACGATCTAATGTTTAGGGAGCATAACCAAGCAAATATTGCGTCAGCCAGAAAAATGATAGGATGGACTACGAGAACTTTCAAATCCAGGGATCCCATCACGATGGTTGTACTCTCTGGTGTCAGTACTGGTGGTCAATACTGTAAAAGTCCCATGTAGACAAGTGTTGTCCCATCTCGAGTACTGCTCAGTATTCACTTCCCCCTTTAGAGCAGGAGAGATTGTTGAAATAGAAGGAATAGAGAACATATACAACACGCATAGACGTGATAAAGCACCTAAATTATTGGGATTGTCTCAAAGCTCTCCAAATGTACTCACTAGAAAGGAGACGAGAGAGATACCAAATAATATACACATGGAAAATATTGGAAGGCCAGGTCCCTAATCTACACAGTAAAATAACAACGTACTGGAGTGAACTATATGGAAGAAAATGCAGAATAGAACTAGTAAAGAGCAGAGGTGCCATAGGCACAATCAGAGAACACTATAAACATCAGAGGTCCATGGCTGTTCAACGTCCTCCCAGCAACTATAAGAAATATTGCCGGAACAACCGTAGACATTTTCAAGAGAACTAGACTGTTTTCTAAAAGATGTTCCGCACCAACCGGGCTGTGGTGGGTATGTGGGCCTGCGGGCCGCTCCAAGCAACAGCCTGGTGGACCAAACTCTCACAAGTCGAGCCTGACCTCGGGCCGGGCTTGGGGAGGTGAAGAACTCCCAGAACCCCATCAAGCAGGTATTGGTATCAAGATAAAGCTGTAGCAGGCTGTTGCATTAACCATTTTAATGACAGTGTGATGTCTCGCTACAGACAAGTGTTAAAACGCTGGGAAAAAGTGTCTATAGACAGATTCTTAACAAGACAAGCAAGCAGAGACCCACAACCCGGTCCTAGTGGTATGCCTGCAGAACGTAGGAGAGTGAGTACCCCAAAGAAGTCATCACTGCCTAATGTTATAATGGAAGTTGACTCCCCTTCCAAACACTAACACCTCTTCTCCTCCCCCTCCCCCCCCCCTCATCGTCTTCCATACACCAATAAGTCATCAATGAAGGTAAGATATGACTTATACATACTGTAGTACAAAATATTTGTAGTATTATGTAGGAAATATATTTTGAAGTTAAAATTTTTGGGAGTGTGGAACAGATTAATTAAATTTACATTATTTCTTAAGGGAAAATTCATTTCAGTTTACGAATTTGTGGTTTACGAACTGTCTCTGGGAACAGATTAAATTCGTAAAGGGAGGTACTGTACCACTTTAGTAGGAAAATTGTATTCCCACTTTTTAATTATAAAAAGATAAAGCCTCTCTCAAAACTTATTTCATTCTTTGTCAGTTAGATGGTGTAGTGACTTACTAGTGCCATTATAAGTAAGTCACATTTGTACTAAGTAATGATTCAAAACCTGAGGACAGGATGAAAGATATAGCAAATCTTGTCTACTTTTGAAGACCCTAAAATTTGATTTGCCAAGTGCAGTACCGTACTCTGAACTCTGTCATGTTGTAAAAATAAAATGTTAACTTGTTGAATGATGATCAAACCACAATTCTGAAGATGGAGGAGTGACAATGTTTTGGTCTGTCCTCGACCATTATCAAGTCATGTGATAATGGTCATTATCAAGTCATCACATCATCATCACACTTGATATGATGATGTGTTTTATAAAGCATTATTAAGTCATCGCACGACTTGATAATGGTCCAGGACGAATTGAAACATCGTCGCTTCTCCATCTTCTGAGTTGTGGTTTGGTCATAATTTCTTCAGCCACGTTATTGTTACTCATCGTATGCTTTACTTGAAGTTACTACTATTGTACTGTACAGTATATTTATTACTGTACTTCACCAAACTATTAAAGCCTCATAAAGGATATACTCTATAGTATTTTTAAAAAGAGTAAAGTCATCAGAACAATCTGCTACCAATTTTACTATTTCACATTATTCTTGTCATGTTATAATTTTTCCCTGGTAGGACTGCCACTAACTTGGAATCAGCTTGAGCACCTCACACTCCCGGTGCTCTTGGATCGCTTGGTGTATCGGCGGTTTTTCCCATTGGCCCTACAGATTGCCAGCTTTTTAAAACTGCCCGAGTCTGATGGAACTTCACGCATACTGGCACATTGGGCTTGTTATAAGGTGAGATAAAAGGTAACAATGCAGCTTTGTTTTATATATTTACATTTGTCATGGAAAGGAAACATTTTCATAACTATTCAAGAAATTCAAATTTGTCAGTACTGTAATTCACTTACTATTGAAAGGTGGTACAGTAGCGGGCTCTTATTTAAGGCAAGGGTTTATATCTCATTTTTTTTTATCAAACTTTTTCATTGGATAATGATCTTGCAAAACTTGGGAAGTTTTGCCTGGCAAATAAGTCAACCTTTTGCAGTTGTGATGAGCACATGGGTAGTGAGGTGCTGTAACTATACTTACCCCTTGATAGAAGTAGTTTATTGTTCTGATTTTGGAGTGTTTCTAAACTTCAGAAGCATGTACAGTACTAGTAAAATGACTATGCCTGATTCCTTCCAGTAAGTGACCATCCACATAAGTGTCACCTTGGTGAATGAGAGTTAGTAAGAAGCCATGAATAATAATTCCCAGTGTGAGTGCAAGCATCCATGGGAACAGCCTGTGCTAGTAGAGACTAGCACGAAATAGAAAGAGTTCCTGGTGACCATGCCCAGTGCAAGAGTAGTTGTGGTACAGTAGTGTCAGAGCATGTTTGCTTAGTCTGTATTTGTACCGAGCAGTATTGCCAATGAGCAATATCTGGCTCTTGGATCCGATGCCTTTGCTATTGGCGCCTGGTACTTTCAATTTTTCAGTCATCTAGTTCTGTATCATATTTGCTCTTAAAACTGTAATGGAGGTAGCATCTTATCTCTTGAAACATCTGCATTTCTAATTTCTGCTTATGTCTTCTTGTTCTGTTTCCCTCATTTGGAAAAAAGTGTTTCTCACAGTTTATTTCCACTCAGTATATTATTGCCATACATCTCCCTTCATTATTGTAAGGTTGTTAGGTTTAATTCTTTTGTCCTGTTTTTTATAGATTTGCTTTGTTTTTATAAGTGTTTTGTTTTAGGAATCAGTTTTGTTTCAAAGCTCTGGTTGTTTTCAATAATTGTTTTTTGTAACATGGTGGTTCTCCATATAATAGGAGTTGTCATGTAAACTATATACTATATAAACTATAAACTATATATACTATATAAACTATATACCTTAAAGAAATCTTTGTTTAGGCTTTTGAATGCTATCCTTATGTTTGCCTGTTCCACATAACCTGCTGATATCCTATTTACATTTACCCCAACTCCCTTCTCTAGTTAATGAGTTATATTTACACCAAGACTTCCCTCCCTGCCCCCCACCCAAATTTCTACGGCTGCCTTCTTCATATACCGCATTTACCATCTGTTTTCCTTTTTATTACTGTTTAGTTCCTGGGATGGAACTTTAGCAGCTATTATGTTCTTTCTACTGAAGCTTGCTTAATCTTTTAAGTAGCCTACAATCCACCTCAATTCTTACTCTCATCAGTAGTTGCCTTTAAATAATCTGTTAGCATTAATATATGGGGAACTTAGCCCTCAGGATAGGTAGCGAATGTTGCTCAGGAATAGCAGAGGTCCAAGAAGTGAGCCATTTGGTTGTGCATACATTGGTATGCACAATCCTCCAGGTGGGGACTCTGAGGTCTCTCTCATCAGACCACTGAGCCTCCAAGGGGGTTTCCAGGGCCCTTAGGCTGACTGCTAAGGGAAGCCCAGGCAAGGTACTGCTAACCGGTTATCCCAGAGCTACCAAGCAAACAAAATATAAGCTGAACCCCTGCAATGTGTGCAAGCATGGGGACCTAGTAGAGGGCCACCAAAATTCTACAAGTGGTCCTACCACCACAACAGGCAGACCCCTGCCAGGCAAAACAAAACAAAAAAATAAGAGAAAAAAAACAGCAAAAGCACAATGTTTCCAGGTGAACAGAACGGTCGCTATGCGTATATCAGACAGCTTCACAGTACCTTGCGCCCCTGCCAGAAACGAAATTACCTCCTACCCAAGGGAAAACAGGAGCAAGAACCACCCCAGCTGAACCCCAAGGGCAGGCAATCACCGAGCAGCAGCAACAACCATGCGGAGGTAGTTCCCAAACGGCTCAGGGAAGATAACCCTGAGGCCGCAAGGGCAGTACTTACAGGGCACCTAGGGAAGGCGGCCCTAGGTGCTTGTGTTACTCCTGGCTCGCACGATAACAAAACTGAACACCAGCACCGCACTGAAGCACTGCTCAAAGGATGGAGCCAGTGTCGATCAACCGTTCTCCCTCACAACAGCCTGTGAACTGAGGAGAGTTGCCGGTGTGGAGGTCTGGGAACCCCCGTCCCCCTCCCGGGGAGAAGGGGGCAGTGTGCAGACGGATGCGTGGCGTTTGTGGCGAGGCATACTTGTTCCTTGTTTTGATTGGGGAGTTCTGTTGCCAGTTCGGCTTTAGGTTTGCAATTTAATTGATCAGCAGTAGTTTGTTTTGGAATTCCTATCTTTCTGGGTGCCTGACCTGGTAGATGGCAGACAAAGACTGCTTCCACTTACACGGGGGTGTCTTTAGATCATTGCTCCTTGTGCCTCTCTTGAGGGGGCCAGGTTCTGGCTCTGGTCCCCGGTAGGCCTAGAACTCCTTCGATTGACTGTTGCCACTGTCTAATATATACACATCAGCCCAGTATAGCTCCGGGGAGCTGAAGGGGCTCTCCACAGAAATTAAATTTTAACAAATACTTTAATTTTGGACTCTCATCACCACACAAGTATAATCAAATATAATCTAATTTATAATCTTTCCAGTGTTCTGATATCAATTTCCGATCTATGTTGTTCATTTTGATATTAAATTGTTCGCAATCTAAAGGCTCGCATTTTGAACCTAGTCCCATAATAATCGAACAATAAATGGTAATTTAACAAATATTTTTATTTTTTATGCTCATCACCACAAAAGTATTCAAAATCTTTCCAGTGTTCTGACTTCAGTTGTCGTCCTACGTCATTCATTATGGTATCAAATTGTACGCAATCTAAAGGCGCTCATTTTAAAACCAGTTTCAGAACGATTGGATAAAAATTCAAATTTAATAAATATTTAAATTTGCGACGCAACCTGCGTTCCTGGGGTATGTCTGTGCGAAAAATTTTGGGCGAAGACTGTGTCGCCGGTGGGCGAAAGTATTAATTACGAGTGAGATGGCCTCAAGGAGCCAGTCACTGAATTACAGTATACATTAAGCTTAGGCCCATTGCCTTCAATACATTCTGGTCTACTGGATGTTAACTATGAGGCCACAATATCACTTACTCTCTCCCTTAGTATTTTGTTTTTCTTGTTTTCATGCTGTCTGAATACTTGTTGGAATTTCCTGTTTAATTCTTTGCGGACTTCTCTGTTGCTCGTTTAGTTTCTCCTTTGGTTTAATCACCTGGATATTAACCATGAGCCCTCTGATATTTTTGTGAAAAAAATCTGGGTTGATCAATCATTTTTCCCACTACTGTTTATAATTTAATTGTATTTTAGTTCTTATGTGTACCTTTACTTGCCTAATTGTGTTTGTAGGTGGGCAATCTCTCTCTTGCTTTGTGTGTATTCTCATTTTTAGTTCCAATATTAATAAGATAATCTTGAGAATATATAATTTGCAAAATATTTTTATGGTTGGCCAAATTTTTTAGATGAATTAATTTTAAACCATAAAGAGGAGTTAATTTCTTTGTGAAGAAATGACTTTTAAAAGAAATCACTCAATTGGTTGGTTGTGCAAACTTTAATTACATTGTATGCTTGCAGGTTTTGCAACCGTCACAGAAGAGTGATGAACAGATTGCTAAAGAAATCAATAGCAAATTAGGTTACACACCTGGCATATCTTACACTGATATTGCTAACCGAGCTGACCAAGCTGGGAGGAAGCAACTAGCCATTAAAGTGAGTACGGTAATTCATAAGCTACACCCATTGTGGGATACCTTCTTTGTACACACACACGTCATTGCTCCCTCTAATTTTGTATATTTTTAATTTGACTTTTTCCTCATAGGAAGTAGTGAAGAAGCCCCTTCTTCCATCCATGTATATCCTCTGCTAATGTGGTGGAGTTAAATGCAGAGTGCTGGTGATGAACACTTCATTATTTTGTCCATATTATATCTTGAGAAACATGTACCAACATTCTACTTGATTACTGAAGAGATAGACTGTGAATACTCACTCATCTCCCTTATATCTTATTATTGGTATGGCACTTACATCCATCAAACTGTGTATTCTTAAGGATGCCAAGGAGATGAAAATTCACAGAGTGCAAGGTATAGGGTAACGAATCTCGGATCCCTGCAACTGGATGATTCCCTATCACTGCTGTGCCACTTGTGAGCAAACATAATTGTGTTGCCACAAAGCTAAATTGTTCATTGATGTATATAAATTTCTCAGGTTTGCCGGTTTCAGATTCTGACTTTGAGGCAAAATGTATGACTTCATTAGCAGTAGTCTCTTGGAAGAAAATCAATCACAATAATTATGTTCACTTATCAAGAGACAACGAACATGACCTTTCCTGTAAATGGGGGTAACCTTGAAATGTTTTGGAAGCTAATGAAGTAGGGTGAGGTTATCAGGGCCCCTCATCCTAGTTTCGAGCCAGTTTCAGAGCTGATGCAGCCTTTGGAACTGCTTTCGTTTGGTCGGCGCAGTGATTGCTCTGTGCGGAGGTTGGGTTCACGTAAGGGGCATCAGCCCTTTTGCAGTTTGTCCCCTGGATGGTGCGATGGGGAGGAGGTGCACTCTGTTTGCTCACGCTTGGTCCCACAATTTGTGGGGCTTTTGGGTCGTATTGGTGTTGGGTGCCAATACGTTGGATGCTTATTGTTCCGATTCCTCTGGGGTTCAGGGACTGGCTCGTTTTGTTGTGGGGCATCAGAGTTACCACTTTCGTTCTGGCCTACCTCGATGACTGGCTGGTGTGGGCTCCCAGCTGGTCCGCGTGTCTGCTCACCAGGGATTTGATTCTTTCCCAGCTTGCTGGTTTCGGGTTCCTGGTGGCCTGGAGGAAGTCCCATCTGGTTTCCTCTCAGGTTCGGTCTTGGCTGGAACTCTCGGACTGATTCCTTGTCTCTTCCTCCATAGGCTCTGCTATGGCTGCGGTCACGCCTTTGCCTGTTTCTGGGGGCTCCCGGGTCACAAGGCAGTTGCTCGAGGGTTTGTACCAGAGCCTGACCTTGGCCATGATAGTCTACCCACTGGGTCATGGTTTGGTTTCGTCAGCTGTTCTGGTTCCTACGGGGACATCCCTTCTGCCCCTCTCGCGATCGCTGGGTTCGGTCTCTGGGGGGGGGGGGGCCTTGTGTCGGTTGCTGTGTCGCCGGTTTCCTCTTCATGTTTTTCGGAGTAAAGTGCCTTGGTGCCTACCCGAGCCCTCGCTCGATATGTTCAGGGATGCGTCATCTCTTGGCTGTGGCTTTGTGATCAGTACTCACCAGGCCGGTCAGGGACAGTGGGGTCCATTCTTCCATCGAGCCCACAGCAGACTGCGGGTGTTCGTTGCGGTGTGGAAGTGGCTTCGGATGGTTCAGGATGCTCGCAGATTGATGATCAGGGTCCATTCGGATTGCTCCCCGGTGGTTCATTGCCTGAACCATGGGGGGTTCGATGTGGTTCCTGGCTGTTTGGGGCTGGTCGCTTCGGGCGAGTTGTCTGCGGAGTTCTCGGTGTTTGAATCTCTTGGGCGTTCACGTTCGGGGGATGTCCAACATCCTGGCAGACGGCCTGTCTCAGTTCATTCCCGTCCATGGAATGGAAGGTTGACGCGCTCGTTGGCTCTGCCGGATGTATGGGCTCCCGAATGTGGACCTCTTCATGTCTTCGGAGTCGCGGCGTCTCCCTGTCTCTGAAGGCTGTTGGGGTCGATGCCTTCCGGCAGGACTGGTCAACGTGGGGTTACCTGTACCTTCCCCCCCCCCTGGTTCCGCTGTTGCTCCAGGTCCTAGCTCGCTTAGAGATGTTCCAAGGGAGAGTAGTCCTCCTGGCTCCTTGGTGGCCAGCCCAGCCTTGATTTCAGGCATTGCTTGCTCGATGTCAGAACCCAGGGTCTTCCCGCGGCTCCCCCTCTTTCAGCAGATCAGGACAGTCCATTACGTAGTTGGTTCGCTCTTCTCCCTCCAGTCTTCGTATCTGGTCTTTCTGACGCTGGTCTATCACCACCTGTATGGTGAGCAGGTGGCTTCGGTGATGGTGTCCCACCTGTGTGCTTCATCTCGGCGGCAGTATGAAGTTTCCTGGTGGTCCTTTTGTTATTTTTTATCCCTTCGTAGGTTTACTTCTGTCTCTGATAAGGTTATCTTGCCCCTTCCTTTTGTGGTTGTTCCAGGACAACCACAAAAGGAAGCTGCATACTGTACATGTTCATCTTATGCCGCATACTGTATTGTTGCCTTGTATCGTGCAGCACTAGCGGAGCCGCTGCAGCTTGCATTCGGCATCAATGTTATGTCTGTACAAGCTGTCTCGTTCATTGTTTCACCTTCGTTCTGCTTAATCGCCGCCTGAGCCATCCTGGTTGTCGAACCGGGTGCTCTCTTTCTCTTCTCAGTTTGTGGTGACCCCTTTGGTTCAGGATTGCTTGGCTAAGGCTCTTTTGTTGTTGGCATTGGCTTCCCGGGGGTCAGATTGGGGAGCTTCATGCTCTCCTCTGGCTCAGAGGTTTCTGTTTTTTTGGTTCTGGTGGCAAGTTTGTTTGTTTGCAGCCGTCTTCTTTTCTGGCACTGAATGAGACTTCTGCTTTTTGGAGGGGTGTTATGTCAACCACACACATGTTGTCTGGTTGCGGCTCTCAGCCGTTACCTGCACACCATGGCCTCAGTGGCCTGGGATGCATTTTGTGTTGACCCGGTTTCCCTTCTTCCCTGTTCCAGGGTTAGGGTCTCCTTGGTTATCCGAAGAGTTTTTCGGTTCTGCCTCCTGGGTACATCCCTCTGGTTTTGTTTTTGGGTTAGTAGCTCTGGTAAGCCAACGGGGTTCCCCCAAAAAAACCAGCGTTGAATGTAATGAAATGTTATTTTCTGGGCGAGACCCGGAGGCTCCTTGGTAACTCTCCCTCGCTCCAGTTGGTGGTTTTTCTCGGTTTTTGACATCCAGCCTCAAAACTGGGGGTGTGGATAGCCGGCGCAGGGGTCTGGGGCACCCCCTTCCCTCTCCTGGAAAAGGGGAAGTGCGCAGTCAGCAGGGTGGTGACATCATACTCGTTGCTTGTTTTTATTTGTAGAGTTCTGTCCACTAGTTCAGCTTTCAGTAGCAATATTTTTACCAGAATAGGGGTTTATTTTGGGGCGCTTACCTTTCTGGGTGCCTGACCCGGTTGATGGCAGACATAGAATGCTTCCAATCACGCGGGGGGTTTCTATAGGCCATTGCTCCACGTGCCTCTGAGGGGGGGCCAGGTTCTGGCTCATGGTCCCCGGTAGGCCTAGAACTCCATGCACAATGACTGATGCCAGGGGTCTCATACATTCATATCATCCCGGATAGATCTGGGTCTTGCCCAGAAAATGGCGCTTCATTACATTCTATGCTGGGTTTTTTCTCGGTAAAATAAAAGATAAAAGAATTATATTCAAAACGAGGAGACCCTGTTCGCACGGGATTTGAAGTACTGTACAGTAATTATTTTATTTTTTTCTCTTGATTTGGTGGCGGATTATTTTCGGACATCTTGGATGGTGGTGTAACACAGTCATCGGTTGACTAAGTATTAAATTCTCACTAGCTTCATTTATTTTTTCAGTTAATTGAATATGAATGTCGACCAAAGGAACAAGTGCTGGTGTTGATGCGACTAGGTGAAGATCAAACAGCACTGAGAAGAGCATTACAGAGTGGAGACACGGATCTTATCTATACAGTTCTCCATCATTTGAGACAAAAGCTCTCTTCAGGAGATTTCTTGGTACAGCCTGCATTTATTTTTTCACTTTATATATACTGCAATTTAATTTATATTTATCACAATAAAACATAATGTATTAGCCATTAGTGAAACATCTTTCAGTGGAAAGTGACATGAGGGAAAGAAGCTGGAAAGTTTTGAAAAGGTTCTAAAAGAGAATAAAATCAAAATACAAGTTGGGATAGTCCTATAGTTAGCAGTTGTGTGGAACAGTGACAGGACAGATGTGTAAACGTTCAAAATTTAAACTGTGGCCCCCAGCCATAACCTAAGTTGGTACCAAACATCTTAGATACTGTACTACAATACTAAAGTCACTTGGAAGACTGTTGCCACTTTGTTCAGCACCAGAGTTTAATAACAGTAACAGATTCAAGGAAACTGTGAAGGAAATGTATGAAACTGTTAAATGTTTCAAAATATATTTATACAAAGCAAAGTCTTCATGGCACCAGAAGTATCATGGAGTTTGGAGCCTAACATATTGCAGTATTGTATCTAGATGTGTCTAGGGACATTGAACAAAAATTCCTTGTTAATCTAGATTAGAAAGCAGTAGATGTAGATGGGTTCATCTTGGGTCCTAAGATAATATGCTCATGGACTGAGCAACCAACTATAGATTTCCAAGTCATCTTTGCAAATACAGTAAGGAACCTTCTTGAGGTTATCTTGAGATGATTTCGGGGCTTTTTAGTGTCCCCGCGGCCTGGTCCTCGACCAGGCCTCCACCAGGCCTCCACCCCCAGGAAGCAGCCCGTGACAGCTGACTAACACCCAGGTACCTATTTTACTGCTAGGTAACAGGGGCATAGGGTGAAAGAAACTCTGCCCATTGTTTCTCGCCGGCGCCTGGGATCGAACCCAGGACCACAGAATCACAAGTCCAGTGTGCTCTCCGCTCGGCCGACCGGCTCCCGGCTGACCTTGCAGACAATGTAAAAACAATGACAAGACCCAATAATCAAATTTACTAGTATTATTGTCTAACATGTCATTACAGTTACAAGAAAAATAATACAAGCTAAATAGGTGGTGGCATATCTCGGGAGAGCATAATAATAGGCAGGCTGTTTGATTTTCAGAGTGGAATGTTAGGTAGAATTGATCTCTCACAAGAGATGTAAGAGGTTAAAAACTTTAGCAAGGAAAGAGCTGAATGATGTCAGTATTTCAAAAAGATGTCTGCAAAATACATACCTGGAGAGGCTTTCGGGAGTTGGTGTTCTCACCAAGCTCGGCAATGTATACATACAGTGTGTCCTCACTTGAACCAACTATATGGGGCAAAGTCGATTTGTTCCAGGGCAGAATTCCCGGTGAGGATGCACTGTACTGTGATCTACTAAATTGCTCTTTGACCTAAAAATGGAGAGCTTTGAGGAGAAGCTTGAGGCATTAAATAGACCAAACAATAAACAGTAGAAAGGTATGGTCAAAACACACCAAATTTTGATGGGAATTAACAAAAATATATATAGATTAAAATTAAGAAAACAAAGGTAATTAAAAGTAAGCAAAAATCTTTTCTGTCAACAGTGTAGATAGATGGAATAAGTTACATTTGAGGGGTAGGTTATGCTGCAGCTATTGTAAGCCTGAAAAGATTGTAGGACAAAGATTATAGGGAAGATAGGATTTCACATGTGTAGCTATGATCTTGTAACTAAATTATGTAATTACATAATGTACAATATAAATATAATTTTAAGACCACCAGTTACCTCTTATACATATTTGTTTCAGATGCTCATCCGGAACTTTCCTGTTGCACAATCACTTCATATTCGCAGCTGTCGAGAACTCGACATGGAACAACTGAGAGATATCTTGGTTCAAGAGGATGATTTTTATGGGCAAGGCCTCCTTAGAATCAAAGAGGCTTACCAATCTTCAGTGAGTAATAATAATAATCTAAGAATCACTATCATTTAGTCTGTCAGTATGCATGGTAGGTCTGAGAAATTCTCTTCTAGTTAATCCTACATTAGTACACTGAAGTGTTTAAGCACCCCAAACAAACCATCCAGTAATTGAAAAATGTCATTCTTTTCACCAACATGCATCTCGATGACAAATTAATGAGAATAACAAGATAGTGGAATATGAATATAATGTGTTACATAAATGACTATAAAGGGGCACAAGGAAAATCACAATAACATGATATATCTATGAGAAAATCAATGGAGCAGGATGTGGATTGAACCAGTGTCTTGGGTATTCCCAGGAGACTGATGAATCCCCGGATCCACTAGGAGTCTGGAGGCACCAAAATGGTAGCCAATTCAAACTTTACATATAACCCTCATGCAGTCTGGTGTAGGTAAGGATTTTCTCACATATATAAAATTATTGTGATTTCCTTGTGTCTCTGAAGGAAGCATTTTGTGGGAAAAATCCATTACCTATATTGAGGTCATCTTGAGATGATTTCGGGCCTTAGTGTCCCCGCGGCCCGGTCCTCGACCAGGCCTCCTTTTTGTTACACACCCCAGGAAGCAGCCTGTAGCAGCTGTCTAACTCCCAGATACCTATTTACTGCTAGGTAACAGGAGCATCAGGGTGAGAGAAACTCTGCCCATTTGTTTCCACCTCCACCGGGGATCGAACCCGGAACCTCAGAACTACGAATCTGATGCGCTATCCACTCAGCTATCAGGCACCTACACCAGAGTGTATGCAGCTTACATGTAAAATTTGGATTGGCTACCAGCTCGGTGCTTCTAGACTACTAATGGATCCAAACAGATCCCAGGTTATGTAATTAGCATATTCTGGTCCATGTAAGATGTATGCAAAAACTCCCAGAACCCCCCAATCACAGAGATGGAGAGCTCCGAAGAAAAGACCAGTGATTATGCTTTTCTTAATTTGGTCGCTGTGGAATGAAAAATAATGTACAGTATAAGGGTATTAGTGTGGGTGTTTTTACGATAAACAGTGGTACTGAAACACTCACTGTTTTTCATAACTATAATGTCTAGAAAGGGAATTTTATCTACTCTTTTTTTTTTCCAAAGTTAATTTGATAGTGGTTTCTTGATCAAATCTTTTGTCCAAAAGCACATTGATGGAATTCTCGTTATCAGCATCAACCACTACGAAAATATCAACATATCTCTTCCAAAAAAAGATTTTTAGACCAATTAAGTTAATGTTGGGTAAGAGACATCTCATCAAATTCCATGTACAGGAGTCTTTTAGTAGTGAAACTAACCATATTACCAACTGTTTCATCAAATTTGCTATCTCTGTTGGTACATTGACAGTTGTAAGAAAAAACTAAAAGAATTTTCTATAATGGTAACAGTACAAATAAATGGAATAAAAAAAAATAGATTGTAAAGCTGCTTCATATACCATTTTCAGAAAAGATATCGAAAGGCCTTACCAACACTAATTACAAATTTGCATGTGATTTCCAAAATATGATTAGGAGAAAGTTTTGCCACAACACACTCTTTAGTAACAGTAATAATGTCAATAATGATAGGAGTGGTGGTTTTGCTAATAACATTAATGTTGGTGTTAACAATAACAACAGGATTGGTGGTGTTAGCGTAGCTTATGGATGTAGAGCTAGCAATGGTAATGTTAATAATGGTAATAACAATAAGAACAATGTAGGTATTGGTGTTTGTGATAATTTGTAATGATTGTAATTTATCATTTGTGGGGGAAACTGGTTGTGTTTTTTTTTGGAGAGAGTTGAATACAAAAAAGCAGCTATTAAATTTGATAAGAATAATACCATTGCTAACCATTGTTGAGATTTTAATCATAGGGTGGATTTTAATAGTAGAATTATATACGACTGCTCAAATATTAGAGATGCCTAATAGAAAGAGTAATTATAGATTCTATAGACAGGAAAGGGCAACAAATCTTAGTAAAGTAGATCCGATTATCCGTAAAATTATTTTTAACCACCTTGATGCGTGGCCTTAAAATATGACATTCCTGCTGTGTTCCAAAAATAAATTCTAATTATATTGTTAAAATGCCATCTCTGATATGGGAAAGTAAACAAAAAAAAATTGTATGTGGCATACTTTAGCTGTGATAGCAACCTGTCCTCTTAAAAAGAACGTCGCTTTTGGCCGTTTGCCCGTATGGCCGAATTTGGATGTACAGTAATTTGAAAATGAAAATAAATTTGGGATTTTTTTTTCAACAACAGTAAGTTAAGGGTCCTCTGATAGGTTAGGTGGGCAGGAAATTCTTATAAAGTTTCAAAACGTTATGAAAAACGTTAATTTAAAGTGTCCTCTTATAACCTCTGCGCGTACGCCGGACGACTCAAATAGAAAACGGAACAGAACGTCACTTTTGTGAGTCGATTTCATTTCAAATTACGTCCAAATTTAGCCATAGCGCGCATATGAGCCAAAAGTGACATTCTTTTCAAGAGGACGGGTTGGTGATAGAGCTGGGAAGTTGAGCAAATTATGGGCGCTGAGCGATGGAGCACTCAGGGTCACTCTGCCCTGAGTGAGAACAACAACGTTCAGGGTTACTGCCACCCCACCTGTGGGGTGGCAGTTGCTGCAAATATAATGATTCACAATTATTTTGATGTTTCTTATTCGTTTCTTCTCTGGTTTTTTGCTGTAATATTATTCAAAAGTGTGTAATTTGTGAAAATTTATATACTGTAGTTCAATGTGTGGAACATCTCTATGCTCAAAATCATGCCGCTCATATATGTGACATGTATATTATATTCTACGATCAATCAAACAGTGTTCTTGCTGTTATTACAGTATATATACACACACACACACATTGTATATACCTATCTACATGCGTGTTCACCATAACAAACCACTAAGTTGGTATGGTGAGTCAAAACAAGAAGTGGCCGCGCACAGCAGCTAGCAGACGCCACCTCCCTCCCTCCCCTCCAATACCCACTTGCCAACATTCCTCCTCCCACCATACTGTTATTGTTTTTATTACACTATTTACACATGTTATAAATATAAGTATCTGCATATTATATTCGCCATAACTATACAACTAAGCTGGTATGGTGTCCAAACAACAGGGTGGCCACCATACACTGCATGACAAGTCACACACCAGCCAGCAGATGATGCCACCTCTCCCTTCCTTCCTCCCTCCCTCCCTCCACCAAGAATGCTCCTCCCACCATACTATGCACATCGCTAATTCTCTCCACAATCCTGCTATTATCAGAATCCTGATCACTAAATCCTGTAAATGAATAATTTTCCACAAGTTTATTTTGTAAAAGAACATGAGAAGTCTTTTGAAGAATCTTAGATGGGCGAAATAATGGCAGTGCTGTGGAATGCGCTGTGAACATCTTGAACATGATTCACTGATATCTGAACATTATACACCGTCTTTATCACAGTCAGGCTCTTCTGTAATACTATCATCGCTAAATAATACCAGTTACATATATATTTTGATATTTTTAGGCAATGCTGTGATAACAACTGAACAGCAGCACTGTTAGCTCATGCTGCATTCACCAGCCTTGGTTGCTCACTCAGCACTGAAGCTCTCACACCCGGGAATGTCAGCCAATTTTTTTTTTTAAATGCGTGTGTTTATGAGAGCCCTGAGGAAGATAATGTAAACCCCGTGTAGCCGCGGGAGTTTTGAATGCTGTGCTATACCTACGAGCTCCCACATGTACTCTGCACACCCCCAGTCTAGCGCCTACAGGCACTCTGCACAGTGCAGTGGTTAGAGAAACGAAACTAATCTCATTAATTCACTTAAGCACAGACCTTGTGATGTCCAGAGTAGGGATACTGATTCTGTGGAACCCTGCCCACAGTTCCCAGTAATTAGGATAATTGAGTATTCTTCTGAAACTTTGATATTTCTTGGAGAGTCCTTGGGAAGCAAAATCACAAAGATATCTAATGGATGCTAAGTTAGGCGCTCTGCCAGATTTATAAATGCAAACTCCTAAAATCTTGTTCAGAACATTGTATACAGCACCTTACCTTGAGGTTACCTTGAGGTGTTTTCAGGGCTTAGCATCCCCACGGCCTGGTCGTCAACCAGGCCTCCTGGTTGCTGATGTGAAGGTGGCAAGGTTGCTGACCTTGAGCAAGGATGTAGGTTACATCTGAAAATTTAGTTTTTAATACACTTACACATATATTGGGTCTTTCCTTCACCTTCATTCAAGCTCTACGGCATTGTAGTAAGTTTCTCTATTATTTGGTTTCTCCTTTTTCATTGAAATCTAACCAAGTAGCTTCAGTGTGTGCGTGTGTGGGGCTCTGTTTTGATTTACTCTGACACTACGTTTTAAATTTTCCCTGACATATATGGTCTCTTCCCCTCCTTGTCTAATGTGTGTGTGTGTATGTACACTCACCTATTTGTGCTTGCAGGATCAAGCATTGACTCTAGGATCCCACCTTTCTAGCCATCGGTTGTTTACAGCAATGACTCCTGTCCCGTTTCCCTATCATATCTAGTTTTAAAATTATGAATAAAGTTTGCTTCCACAACCTGCTCCTTAAGAGCATTCTATTTTTCCAATACTCTCATGCTAAAGGAATACTTCCTAACATCTCTAACTCAGATGAGTTTCCGGCTTCCATCCATGTCCCCCTCGTTCTGTTACTATTACGTGCGAACATTTCACCTATTTCCACTTTGTCAATTCCCCTGAGTATGTTATACGTTCCTATCATATCCTCCCTCTCCCTTCTTTTTTCTAGTGGTTCAGTTCCTTCAGGCGCTCTTCATATTCCATCCCTCATAACTCTGGGACAAGCCTCGTCGCAAACTTGTGAACCTTTTTCCAGTTTCCTTGTGTGTTTCTTCAGGTGGGGACTCCATGATGACACAGCATACTCTAAGACTGGTCTCACATAGGCAGTATAAAGCACCCTAAAAGC